GCACTTTATATAACTGTGCTCCTTCTCCAGCCCTCAAATAGCACCTGTGGTTTTGGTGGACTAATTATTAAATAAGAAGCTGCACACAGGATTTAATGATGACATCAGAACTTCTGAAAGTGCAGCTTCAGGGGGAAAGCATTGGAACATAAGTTTAGAAAAACAAGTTCTATTTCTAGGATCATTATTTGTGATCTTGGCTCATTATTTGCCATTGTGAAGGATGCTGTGAAATTACAAATATTACTAGAATGTACTGTGCATGTTACAGGGAAAGAAAGGTAATCATCCACCTTACCCAGATGTGAACCTTGTGAGTTATAATGATAAATGGCTTGGAAAATTATGCCAACTGGCACAACAGTGTAATGAATGTTATGGGAGTAACCAACCAACTTCTAGCTGGATCTAAGACCCATTTCACAGGATAGAATTCATACCCTATATTGTTATCGGTGCCAAGAGCCTGTGGCTAGACAGGCCACAGGCCATAGAGGAGAAACTACTACCATTGTTCTGCTAAATAGACATAGTATTAAATTGATTGTTAATGGCTTATGGTTATACCTATAGATTAATGCATCTTAAACTCAGACCAGAGAAGGTTCTCCTTGCATCAGATGGTGATTAACACAGAGATGCACAATTGGTCAATGCATAGAGAATAAAAGGCTGCCAAGTGTTCAGCCTTAAATGGGACAATTATATCATACTTTCTACTCCTAAGGCTCAGGGATCATTGAAAAAGAGGGGTCAGAAAAATTTTAAGAGCCACAGGTGGTAGATAAATACAAGGAAATTGTATTTACCACCACAAGGTCATTGCATTTATGAACTCACAGAATTTATATATTGTATGTATGTATTTTCATGTGTATGAGAGTTTTGCCTACATGTATGTGAGTACATTTATATCATACACTGTCCCCAGAGGCCTGAAGAGGGTGTCAGATCTCCTGGAATTGTAGTTACTGAAGGTTGTCAACTGTCCTGTAGGTGCTGGAAACCAAACCTGGGTCCTTTGAAATAACAGCAAGTACTTTTAACTGCTGAGCAATTTCTCCAGCCCTAAGCCAAAGCAATTATGACAGCATGGACAGGACCTGCGCAAATCCAAGCCAGACAGGGGTCTAGCATGGATAGTGGAGGTGGGAAGGAAGCTCCAACCTCAGCTGAGGATCTATTGGCAATTCTTAGATACTAGGAGAGGGAGAGAAAGTTTTCCATACTGGTGTGATGACTGATAGGTTGACCAAACTTCCAATCTATAAACATTTAATAAACACAGATTAGACCAGATAGGCCTTTGTAAAAAAGACAAATATAATAGATAGAAGATATTAAGTTTGGGGTGGGAATAAAATGGGGGTGTAAATAAGATAGAGGGTCTGAGTATGATCACAATAACATATGAAATTTTTGAATCAATGGAAATATTTGAAATATATTTATAATGATAAAATATGCAATGCCTTTTGGTTTACTCTCACTAATTTACATGGAAATCGTATGATATTTTGAACACGAAAGCATCAACACAAAATATATAGCTCTCATCTTAAAGGTAATTAGAGATAGTTTATTCTGGAGCCTAATATAGGTAATATTGCCCAGGAACACAGATTTAGATTATTCCAAATCCATGTTAAAATGTGGTAACAGCTAATATAGTTTGATAATAATAGAACAAAGGCAAAAGTCCAGTCACTTGTAAATACATGGGTAGAAGCAGACAGATTACAGTAAGGAAGGAAATAGGCCTTCTACTAATCTCGTGCACTGATCGATGATAAATTAGAGCCTTTACGCTGGTGAAAATGAGGGGCGTCTTTGTACATTCCAAAAAGAGTTTTTAACCTTGTGGTCAGTCATAGGAATTTAGGTTACATGCCAAGTTGGGCAATAAATGGTCATGTGGGCCCTGAGATAGACCAAGATTCCAGCTCTCTACTATCATTAAAGTCTAACCGGTCAGTCAGGCTTATAGAATGTATAATGCTGGTGCAGCTTTTTTTCTGGGAACTTCAGTTAAAAAAAGGGAAACAGATCAGAGATTATATGTTAATTTATGGCTATAGCTGTCTTATCTGCATTGCTACATGGTTAATAAGCAGAATATCTTAATGTCATGCAATTGTGGGAATACCATTCAGAGTCAGGAATTATCTCCCAGGGCCAGGCCATTTTTCATCTGCTGTATTATACTCAGAAGTAAGTGATTTTTCTAATAAAATTCAATATATTTCATTGTATTCATATGTGTGAGATGGGTATGTTTGGATTGTCAAGAATTAGAAGTCTTCAGTTTCCGTTTGCACATTCCACTTCCTGAACATGAATTAATGTGCTGATGAGTTGAAATGGTCTAAAGATATTTATGCAAGGTTGCTAACAGACTTTTACTACGTTTCTCTGGAATAACTACATTTAAGCTGGTTTAGTGCTGGAAATTGTATACAGTTCCTCTTGTAGCACCATGGCACAATCAAGTCACTTACTATGACCATAATAAGCTTTTCTGCCTTCAGCGAGCAAGGAAACTCAATAACCAGACCTCCTTTAGGAAACCACAGGCATTTTCAATTTTTGATAAATTGTATGGTTGATTAGAGTTCAGGAGAGTGGATATAGAAAAGTACATACTTGATTTTGTTTTATTTATGCTGAAGAATTCATTATAAATCTAAATGTGAGGTCGTTACATCAGAATAGAAAGACTTCCGCAGACATGATTCTGATTAAGTCACTTCATCCCAGAGGTGCCCTCTCTTGTCTTTGGACTCTGAACTCTGCTAAGAAATTCCTTTGAGGCATGTCTCATGTCCTGAACCACTTAACATTCCTAACCTGTTTTCTTAGAACTCGCTTTTCATTTCCTGTGCTGCTCCATTCAGAGAATTTGACCTTTGTTCTGTAAGAATGCATTTCAAGATAGAGCAAAAAGAGTTATGGTGCCTTGTCACCTTTTATACATTGGAAAAGGGACATATTTTAGAACATCGTGAGCAAGCATGCAATGAAATCAAATACACAGCCCCGTTCCTAACACAGCTCCCCTCTTCCTGCCTAGCAGATACATTCACTGATTAGTTTATTGTTGATGCCTCATGCTTCATGCATTGTTTATAGCACTACACAGAAGGACAGCATTACTTTGTAATCTCATTGTTGTGGCTATCCTTTTAGCCATCTTCATTACTATTCAGAACACATGAACAATTAAACATCTATGTTGCTGTGTACTTCTAACATTTAGTCTTTTCCCTAAGCAGGCCATATAAATATCACATATGTGCATTTAAATCTCCTAATTGAAAAGAACATTGCCGTTTTTATAATTATTTTGTGCTCATTTGAAATATTCTTAAATATATCTGCTTAGGACCAAGTATGGTGGTTAATGTCTTTAAGCCCAGCACTCTTAAGGCAGAGACATGTGGATCTCTGGAGATGGAAGCCAGCCTGGTCTACATAGAGAGTTCCAGCCCAGAGGGGCTACAGGGAGACCCTGTCTCAAAAAACAAATCTCCACTTAATCTACTTATATTTAACAACATTTCTGGCCATTTATTTCCTCCCACATCTATATAATAAAAACATAAGAAGTTTCAAGGCAAAACAGAACTCTTACCTCAAAGGGGATAAGTTTATTTTGGAGCCAAATATGAGTGGCCATCACTCAGGAACAGATTCAGGTTATCCCAAATCCCATATTCCAAAGTGGTAACAGTCTCATGAGATTTGTTGGTAACAAAACAAATAATCATAAATCAAGATATTTTCCAAATACACTAGTGGAACCATTCGGTGCATGGGTTGCAGAAAAGTAGGACAGTCTTAAGTATGGGCCCTAGATGCTACCTGATGACATTCCCAGCTTTTGGGTTGGTGCATCTAGGTGTTCATTTTGCATTCCAAAGAGTATACTTAAAAGTCACAAAGATATCAGGTCACATATAGAGGTGGGTAATAATAGCTACTAAGAGTCTAAAGGTACCCCAAGATGACTTGACTCTGGACTAGCAGTAGTCCAGACTCCTCACACCATTGAAGTTCTAATCAGCCTTGCAGAACTTTCAGTATAAGTTGCAGTTCTTTCTAGGAGCTTTCATTCACACAACAAATACACAAAATTGTCTAAAGAGAAACATAATTCAAAAGCAGCATTTATTCCTTTTATTAGACAGTATAAAAATAGCATTCAAATTTGTCCTTTACATTTAGTTTAAAATTACTCACTTTACTTGAAGTGTGCTTGGTACTCTAAAGCATAATTCATTAAAATCACTTTAGAAGAATAGACTTTAATATTTCCTTCATTCAACAAACTTATTGTATATATATTAAAGCAGAAAACTGTGGCAGATGTTGGGAATATGAACTGAATAAACAGAACTCTGTCCTCAAGTCAATGTAAAAACAAATAATGAGAAATTCAGAGAGGCTAGTAATTTCTGTGGTTGGACATGGGAAATAAAGTTCCCACAAAAAACTACATTGATGTTAAAAATCCTATAAAGCCTGTTCACTGATTAACACTCCATGAGTGGGGAGAGTTGTAGTGCTACAAATCCTGAGTCAAAATTTCCTGATTGTTCCTTGTTCCTCACAAAAGCCACTCATTGTCTCTGTGTGTATATGCCCTGACCTCCTTGTAACTGTCACATAACAAATTGGGGGTCTAATAACTTAACATATCACAATGCCAACAACCCAAAGCTAAGGATGTCATCAGAGAGCATGTGAAGACTAAAAAGATGTGGCCTTGCTTTGCTGCAACCCACTTACCTGCTATTTCCACCAATGTATTTGGAATGTGCCTTTTAGTATTATTTGTTGTTCTGTAACTACTAAAAATCATGAATTATTGATTCCAATTATTTGGGTTGTTGGCATTAGTGATCTTCACATTGTGACATTATCTTAGTTGCATTTACTGTTCTTGAGATAAAATCTGCTCACAAAATCAACAAAGGGAGAAAGGATTAATTTTAGCTTACAGTTCCAGGTTATGATCCATCATCATAGGGGAGGCAACAGAACTTGAAGCATCTAGTCATGTTAGATCCTAGAGCAGAGAACAATGAATGTATGCTTTGTTGTTATCACAGTGAACTGTTACTTTCTCCCTTTTTATGCAATCTAGGCTCCAACCCCTGGGAGTAGTGCTGGCCACTTGTAAGCTAGTTCTTCCCATATCAACATAATCAAGGCAACCCATAGGCCAACCTATTCTAGACAGTTCTTTACTGGGACTGTCTTCCAATGTGATTCTAGAGTCTAACAGCTTGATAATTAAAACAAATCATTACAAACATGTTATTGGAGACAACCTGAATCTATGTTACCAGAACTTAGTCCCTCATATTAGGCTCTAAAATTAACTAGCTTTAATTACCGTTGAAGAGAGAGCTATTCTTTATTATTATTATTATTATTATTATTATTATTATTATTATTAATTGATACACAAGTTTATTGAATCTTTGTGTATTTCATGCAATTCATATTAATCATATTTAGACCCTCCCTATTTATATCCCCTCATAGCCCATCCCCCAGATTTCATGTGTTCTGCCATAAATATTAAGGTCTATGGAGTCAGGTTTGTGTACCCAGATGTCCTTTGCTGTGAGTTCATTCAATGGCCATGGAGGACAGAAGAGGCTGTCAGATCCCCTGGAACTGGAGTTACAGCAGTTGTTAGCTGCCATGTGGGTGCTGGGATTGGAACCTGGGTATTCTTAAAGAACAACCAGTGTTTTTAACCACTGAGCCATCTCTCCAGCCCCCAGAGCTATTCTTTTGTTGACAAAGTACAGGAGGCTATGAAAGGATCTCACTTTGGTACAATGGAGGATATTAAGGGGTTTTAGCTAAAATCTAGAGGTTGAGAGAAACTTTACAAAAAGGAATTCTGTAGGGTGGAGAAAAAAAACCATGATGTGGTGTAACTTGCCTCACATAATAAAATTTAATAATAAAATAATCAATAATCACAACCTTGACCCAAAGGAAGTACTCTGCCCATTCATTCCACAGTGTATGACTGTTCTAACACTAACCAGAAAGAACTTAGACATTTAAATTTTTCATAAAACTATATAAAACTTTATTTAAAATTGAGGTTTAATACTGCAATTTTAAAAATTAATGGCTCTAGTCAGTGTTCTCAATTACTAGAAAAAGGAGCAATTAACTGAGTTTGTGAATTACATGTTTCCCGTCATAACAGGAGGATTAGATCAAGCAAGCCAAATGATTATGTGGTGATCAGCCAATATTATGGCCATCGTTACAATACGAAGTGCTCAATTATTCAGTTTAATTTGATCATGTCACAAGACATCCATGAAATTAAAATCAGCTAGAAAAATAAAAGGAGATGCAAAGTATGTTTCACTTTAATGGCTTAAATTAAATTTGAATAGGGAAAAACACATGGAAGGGACTAGGGCTAATAAGCAGTGATTGTCTAAAAATGTACAAGTTATCACAATGTACTTTCACAGATGTCTACTTTAAAAATCTAGTCTATTTTCCCTACAAAAGACAAAATAATACTAGATGGTAATTTCTACAAATTAAATTATTTTGAATACAACTGAGGAAATTTTTATGATTCCCCTAGACATAATTTATGTGCTTCATTAGAAAAAAAAAAAAAAAACAGTGGCTCTTACTACAAATGAGATTGCTAGGCAAAAGGTTGTAGCTGATAGTTAAGCTGTTCTATTAGAAGACAATCACTTCTTGAAGTGTGCCTAGCTCATTAATGCATATTCAGAATCAACAAAACAAAAGGCAGTGATTGGTTATACTGACGCCACAAATCAAATGCCCCTTTGAAATGTCTGTAGAATTGAACAGCAAATACTCAACAGGAAAGCTACCAAGTCCAAATGGAGACCAAATATTCCCAAATGAATTATCATCCTTAAAAAGCAATATGATGAACTATAAACCAATAGAAGATACTAACACAGCTGGTTACAAGAGAGCAGAAGAATATTTATTAGCCAATGGAAGAAAAATAAAGTAAGCTCACTAATCCCTTTATTTGTGAGCTACTTTTAAAAAAATGTCCTATTTTCTTTCACAACCATGTTGAAGAGGTGTGGAAGAGTAAGGATTCATTATGACAGCTGAAATAGCAATTGATAGGAACCAGGTGTGTGTCCCTTTGGTATGTAAAAATTCTAATCACAGAAACTTCATTGTGTAAACTCTCTCTGAGAAGGAGACATTAAGGCTTTGTGATGGTTTGAAGGAGAAATGTTTCCCATAGGCTCACATAACTTAGTACTTTGTCTCTAGTTATTGGTGCTGTTTAGGAAGGTTATGGAACCTTCAAGAATGAAGACATGCTGGAGGAGGCATGGCACTTTGTGCAGGCTTCAGAGTTTTATAGCCTGGCCCTACTTCCTGTTCTCCCTTTCTGTTTCCTGTGTGCAGAAGATGTGTTATTAGCCAGCTTCCTGCCTGCTGGCTTGTCTTCCTCACCATGATGGATGTACTCCATTCATCGAAATCTAAACTGAAATAAACCTTCTTCTTTCTTCCCTAAATTGCTTCTGCCAGATTATTTCTTGATTTTAACAACTGAACCTGAATCGCAGAAGTACTGTTTGTACTGTTTGTAAATATATTGTTAAAATATATTGTAATGTATAT